ATAGATCGGTGTTAGCTGCCATCAAGGCGTACATAGATCCGAGTCAAAAGAACTGGGATAGTAAACTTAGTAGCATCTGTTGCGCGTTGAGGTCAAGTTTTCATTCGGCCATAAAAACGACACCGTACAGAATGGTTTTTGGGCAGCACATGGTAGTAGATGGAAAATCATATAAAATCATTAGGGAGCTAGGATTGCTAGAGGATAGAAATGTACAGTTCAGTAAGGATGACTCGCGAGACATAATAAGGCGTACGGCTCAGGATTCGATGGAAGCCCAAAGGGAAAGGAATGAAAGGGCTTATAACTTGCGGAGCCGAATTGTGTCTTACAGACCGGGTCAAGAGGTCTTTCGCCGGAACTTCCAGCAAAGCAACTTCGCAAAGGGTTTTAGCTCAAAGCTAGCACCGGTTTTTATAAAGTCTAGGATCCGAAAAAAACTGGGTTTGGCCTATTATGAAATTGAGGACCTCCAGGGAAGGTTAATTGGCAAATACCACGCGAAAGACTTGCGACAATAAGACAAGCTGGGATCTCCCTTGTGTCGATAGCTCACCCCAAGTGAGATTTTGGTGGGGGGGAACTGTAGGATTGCTTGTCTTTTGGCTAAGATTGCTTTCGGCCCAAAAGTAGGCAACAGAGTTTGGTCTACATGGTTTAGTAGAAAATATAGTCTCTTGAGCCAGAACTCCCAAAACTTCACCAAATTGGTGAGTAGGCTTGAGCGACAGGTCGGACTCAGGGTCCCGACCCGAAGTCAATTTCGTTTGGAGTCACACCAAAATTACCAGTGGATCGAAGAAGAAGTTAGTTGCAAGTGCAAAGATCAAAGTTACACAAATTAAAGGAAATCCATAATTTCCAAAATTCCCGGCAATCGCCGTTGCAAGTGGCTTAAAAACCAAAAAAAAAAAACACAAGTGCTAAAGTGCCAACCCCTAGTGGGTAAGTTTTTTGAGTGCGAGAAGTTGATAAAGTGGTGTTTGAACGCCCTAATGTTTTTAGGTGGCACCTAATTACATAACCCCGGTCCGCCAAAAGCCAGGCTTGGGCGTAAGAGGCGTCTGCAGAACGAAAGGCCAACCGGAAGCAATCTCAAAATCGCAAAAGGCCAACCGATCAATCAGCACCAGCAGCAGCAGCAGAATCCGAGATCCCTCAGCAGCAACCAAAGCGCCGAGAATTTGATATTTATATTTATATTATCTACATATTTATTCTACTTTCTACATCAACGTTTATATGTTGTAGAGTAGCCCAGTAGCCAACGAAATTTAGGCTAGGGACCATTTACCGGCCATACAGTCCATATGCCGTAGGGAAATAAAGCCCCAGAAAGAAATGAAATTTTGAAATTTTGAAATTTTTGATACGAAAGCAATTCTAATCATATTTTAAACTTAAAGTTACGAATTTTACGCGTCATTATACGCCACTAGAAGCAGATTGAAGCTGAAATTTAGTTTAAGTAGTTTTAAGAGTATAGTTTGAATGAAGAGAGAAGGTCAATAACAGGAAAAAATATGCATTAGAGCAGAGCAGTCCCGTCTTCCCATGTACGTTTCCCTTCCCTCTCCCACATCTTAACGGCAGAGTACCGTACCGCTGTAGATTGCGAGTAATGCGAGTGAGAGTAATATCTCTTAAGTAGTTGAGGTTCTCTTTCACAGGCCCCCTTCGAGAAGCGCTTCATCGTGGGAAAACAAAGTGAGTCCATTGTAATGAATCTCAACTACCTTTTTTTTTAAATAACACAAAAGTCCAAGGAGACAACAAACATTAAAATTTAACCCCTTACTAAATGCTGTAATAAAAAAAAAAAAAAATTAAAGAAACTCCAAATTCCAAAAAATTTCCTCCCCATAAAGCCCAAACCAAAACTCCCTGCTCAATAATATAAAATTTTAAGCCACACATATAATGCCATAATTTTACATACCTACACCCATTATACCCGCTCTCTACATTTGTATTGTTTCATGTAAAATCTAGATGTCATATACATGAGCACTGAAATATTCAGCGATCGCTAAATTTAATTTTTATTCCTTAAATTCGCATTTTTAGTTTCAATCTAGTTGCTAATCATTTCTTAGGTTCCTAATGAACTTGTCTAGAATTAATTTTTGTCAATTAATAGGATTATTTTATGTTTAAAAATAAAATTTATAATGTTCACTGAAGTTGAGTAGAGTCAATAGGGAAGCCATGCGTCGTCAAATGTTGTCTGTCGTGTAAAGTGTAGTCGCCTTTTAGGGATCGCCATAAATATATCTGGTCGATGGTGATCATGGTAGGGAGGGCAAGTCAGCTTGAACAACCGCTGACATAAAGGCACTACATCCTTGTTCGTCCTTGTCTGTCCTTTGCTAGTCAATAGTCCAGTTTAGTCCTCGGAGATTCTTCTTTAAGCACGCGAATTAATAAGGATTTATTGTAAAGAGCAAGCAGCAGCGTTTAATATATCCCCGACCCCCTCTACTGGTAACTCATGCCGGAACCAGCGCGTGCTCAACGTAGGCTACAAATTACACCAGCTCTCGAAACGTAGTTCGCTACACTTTAAGGCGAAAACACACCTGCTTTGATCTCCCCCGCCTGATAATCAGTCGAGCGAGTGTTTTTCTTATCAATTGGCAGGGAATCTCAGGTCCCGAAAACACCGCGCTGTCAGCAAATGTCAAAGATCTCACGAAACAAAACAAAACAAACGAAAAATACATTTGAGTTGACAGCAGCAGCAGTGGCGGCGTGAAATTTAATCAAATAAATTAGCAATAAAGTTTTATTTTCCCGCGTTACACGTTGCGTATACGCAATGTCAAACGGTGTGCTTTTATTGCCCGTCAGCTTTTCGCGTTAGCAGCGCTGTTTTTTCGTGGATTTTCAAAGGTTTCCCCGCTTTTATATTTCCACAGTTTCAATTAACATTGTCAGTTTGATGCGAAATGCGACCCTCAGGTTTAAACTGGGGGATTAAAACACACCCCTGAAAAATCTACACACATGTCAAGCTGTCGAAATGTCCATTTAATTAGGCCGAAATTAAGGATGTGATAAGGGTGAGAGGATTAGGGGTTTTTAAGCTAGAACCTATTTATAAGCCTGCTCGTGGAATCTGTATCCTAAATATCCCTCAGCAAAGGCCGAAGTTAATTGAATTTTGTTTCTGTTTTTCTTTCGGCTTGCCAAGTGCGTGACTCTCCGATAGTTTGCAGACTGTGTGGGACTGGCAAACATCAAATTGGTTTTCGAGGGAAGACTTTCAACCATAAACCATAAATACGTGCATAAATTCGAGCACCATTAGCGATTTAGAGGCGCCAAAAGTTCTGGCAGCGATTATCAATACAATTTGCCATATTGCCTGCCAGCACACATTTATCATTCGCAAAATATGGGCAAAAACTTGGGCAAAATCCGGGCGTTTCACGAACACGAAATGGGCGTCGAACAAGTTTACCTTCATGTTTGTTTCGCACACGCTTACAACTAAATAAATAAGCAACAAACAAACGGGGAACCGCAAACTCGAATGCAAATATATACCAGCGCAAACAGCAAACACAAACGAAAACGCCAACCCGCAAAAGTATGCAACGAAATTTTAAACTCATGACGCAGCCAATTTATATGCAGGGAAAAAATAAACCGAATTGAAGCGAATCAACAATGAATTGAATACAAAGTCCTCGGTTACACAGATGGTGAATATTAGAGGGTTAGAATAATAGATACCCATTAAAGAGATTATATTCTTAGTTTACAAAAAAAAAATGTATTTACTGTCCTCGGTTACACAGTTGGGAAATATCAGTGGGTGCGAATTATTGATACCCATTAAAAAGATTATATTCTTAAATTTAAAAAAAAAATATGTATATATGTCATTAAAAACATTTATTCTGCTAGCGATCATTTTAAGTTAAATATTACAGAAAGCTAACATAGCCGACAAATCCATTGCACATTTATTCTTATTTAAAATTAACGTAGGATCACATTTTGTTACCTCTACTTTTCCCTCAACTAATATACCCCAAGTACCAACAGAGCATCTCGCCTGGAAAACCCAAAAGAGTTTTAGCGAAATGAAAAATTGAAAAACGCTCGGCGAAAGCGATGATTTTGCGGTCGCCAGCTGAACTGATGCGTATCGGCGGCTTAGGCTCTGGACAAAGGGCATAAATCATGGTGTATTTATCATAAATCAAATTGGATTCCCCTCAAACCGCCCTCCCCCTTTCAGCCACCCCAGAAATTCCGATTGGGATCCGATTGGGAGCCGGCTGATGTGTTTGCTTGGCGCGCATATTTTATTTATGATTCTTTTCCAGTTGAGTTGCGAATTTGTTTTGTCTCTATCTGTCAGTGCTTCCGTTTCGGCATCGATTCCTTGATTTTTCCTGATTTTCTATATCGGATCAATCATTGTTTCATAATAATTGGGCTGGTTGGGGAATGTAAAACAGGTAAAGAAGGAATGGCAGGCCGACTGACAGCCCATCGACAGTAACTTACACGATTGACGTGGCATTATCAGCTTGTTGGAAAAAAAAGAATAAATCGAAGAGTCCAGAAGTGATAAATGCGGTCGGCGAAAGGCCAGAAACCCACACTTCTTGCACATTTCGCCTTGACCATTTCCACAAATTACTCGACACTTTTCCTAGGGCACTCTGAATGCGAAATATCTAGCAGTCATCAGCTATTAGCTGAACAATAAATTCACTTCAACATTCCTTAGTCGACTTCTCGCCGTTCTCGTTCTCCTTTTCAAAGGGTCAATGATATGTAAAGGTCAGCGCCAGTACTTTTATTGGGAAAGGTTTCTAGGGAGATATATATCTACATATTTACAGTATTTTACTCTTCACAATGAAATGTTTTAGGCTGCTGTTTGGAATTTTTATAATCATACACATGTTAATACGATTTTGATCTGTTATAATCAAAGAATATAAATATAGTTTATATAAAGGAAACATTAGTTAAGCAACTCAAGAAATATTTACATAGAATCCCACGCTAACTCGAAGAATATCGTATGCGTACCAATTTGTCTGCACCAAATATTGGCCCTCAGGAACTGGTAAAACTTCTGTCAATTTGTAATTTAAATAGCTGGTTGATAACTTGTCAATGATGATATCGTGCTGAAAATATCGCATTCAGAATATAATATATTTTATGCAGTGGAACAAACTTACGTCGTATGGGCATGTGTGATTCATGTTGGAGTGAGACTTAAAGAGTTCATAAAAGAACTTAGCTATCGGTTGGGAAGTAGTATTTTTCAGAAAGCGACATGAGTCCACTGTTATATTGTAAAGAAACGGCAAGTAGCCATTTACTCTTTTGTACATGGCAAAGTTTAGCTAAAAGAGAAATACTTATCAAATCACCTTCTTCACTATTTATTTGTAACCAACATACCTTAATTTTAGTGACCGGAGTTTTTAATAATTTCGCTTTAATAGAAATATATTTATAAGTTCGATTTATCGGTTTTATATAGCAATATTCCATTACGCAAAAACTTTCATCCATGGAGGAGCATTTTATGTTGGTCCACTCTAATTTGGAAGTGATCTTTTATAGAAATGTAATTAATTAATATTAAAATATTTTTTCTATAAGAGTGGAATACCTCTAGCACCAAACACGAAATAAACACTAACTTAACTAAACCATTAAGCTTAGAACACATCTTTTAACATTGAAGGACCAACCGAAACTGATTAAAATATTCTAAAGCTGAACTAGACTAACCATTTTCAATCGAAATTGATCAATTAAACTTTAAAAGTTTACTCAAGGGTTGATTGATCATGTTTTTGGCATAGGTATTGTGAATAGTGGTACATTTTTTTTTATTATTACCTTAATAGCATTATGATTTAAAATGCACAATTTACATGATAATTTAAAACTACTAAATTTGAGCCAAAGCTTAAAACAGTTTTAAAGCGTTTAATTACTCGTGACTCTTAAATATTTGACTACCGTCAGTGGTTCAATATAAATACTCACTCAATTTATTCATCTTGACATAGGTCATGAACAGATTTCAATTACATTTCAAGCGACAGGAAAAAAAGTCTGTCAGGTCTATGGAAAATTATCGAAATATGTTTGCAATACCATTTAAGAAATATGTACATAAAAACCAATGCTTGCTCGAATAATATCGTAACAATACCAATAAGTTTGCATAAGATATTGTCCTTCCGGAACAGGCAGAACTTTCGTTAATTGGTGGTTCATGAAGCCGGTGGATAACTTATCGATAATGAGATCATGCTGAAAGAACCAGATTTATAGTATACATTTGTTTGCAACTATATAAACTTACGTCATAGGGGCATGAATGATTCATGTTAGAGTGAGACTTAAAAAGTTCGTAAAAAAACTTAGCAGTCGGTTGAGAACTGGGATTTTTTAGAAAGCGGCATGAATCCAATGTTATGTTATAAAGAAACGGCATGTAACCATTCGCCCGTTTATACCAGGCAAAGTTTAACTATAAAATAAATATTTAATTTATTTAGTATTTTAGAATTATTCACAAACCTTCACTTTAGTAACAGGTGTTTGTAATAATTTCGCTTTAAAGGAAATATATTTATATGTCCGATTTATGGGTTTTATGTAGCAGTATTCAAATGTGGTAAAATTTGTATCCAAAGAATGACATTTGATGTTTGTATACTCGAATTTTAAAGTATTCTGTAATACAACTTAAAATTATATAAGAATAGTCCTATAAAAACTAAAGAGTAAATATTAACCTCTGGTACAAAACACAAAATAACCACCAGTAGATTAGTTAGATTAAAACACATCTTTTAATATTGTGTGGCCAAACAACACTGATTCTAAATATAAATATGTTCAACTCCATTTAGAACTATCAAAAATTTTCAATCGAAATTGATCAATTAAATGTAAATGTATTTATTAAAGATTATTTAAGGGTTGGCTGAACTTGTATGTATATACAGAAAATATTTTGACAGAAAAATAAAATATTTTTAGTTTGGCAGTAAATATTTCATAAAAACTAGCCCGAAAGTTTTAGGGCGTTTTATTATTCTTGACACTGAACAAAAAATGTATCAAAATGGCGATTAATAAAAAGTTCCATAAAAACTAAAGGTTTCTCGAAGAATATCGTAAGCGTTAAAGGGTTAAATCATGCGCCGATCCACGGGGGGTAATATGGGTGATATACCACCCCCCACTCGGTTGAAAAATGAAAGGAATATTGGTATTCAAAAATTTACAACAAAAAATTTGTTCACCCCCCACAACAAAAAATGTTCGAATTATTAGATGTACTTTTAAAAGCGTTAAATCTATTATATTAATCTTTGAATCTTTTTTATTAATACCATTTAAGAAATGGTTCCATAAAACCCAATGCTGGCTCGAAGAATATCGTAGGCGTACCAGTGAGTTTGAATCAAGTATCGACCTTCGGGAACTGGTAAAACGTTTAGTATTTGGTGATTTATGGACCCAGCGGATAACTTTTCGATCATGACATCATGCTAATATAATACCAGAAATATAAAATAAATTTGCTTACAGAATTTAAGAACCTACATTGTAGGGGCACGAGTGGTTTATGTTGGAGTTAGATTTGATGAGTTCATAAAAGAACTTTGCAATCGGTTGGGAAGTGGTATTTTTCAGGAAACGACATGAGTCCACTGTTATATTGTAGAGAAACGGCAAGTAACCATTCACTCTTTTGTACATGGCAAAGTTTACCTAAAGACAAATAATGGAGAATTAATATCTTTACAGTGTTTTTGTTACCAACAAACCTTTACTTTAGTCACAGGAGTTTCGAATAAATTCGCTTTAATGGAAACATATTTATAAGTTCGATTTATTGATTTAATGTAGCAATACTCAAATGCTGTAAAATGTGTATCCAGACTACTGCATTTGATATTGGTAAATTCAAATTTTGAAGTAATCTGAAAAAATGTTTTAATTATTTTAGAATAAAGTAAACATTAAAGACTTTGTGCTTATCTTTACTTGTGCTACGAGGCACAAAATAACAATCAGTTTAACTATATTTTTTAGCTTTGAACACATGTTGAAGTATTGAATGGCCCTCCAAAACTGACCATAAAATATATTAAGTTCAACTAGACAAGACTATGGTTTATTAAAAATTATCAAACAGTTGCAATCTAAATTGATCAATTGAATGTGTATGTACTTAGTAAATATTATTTTTAGGGTTGATTGAACTATTTCAAATATCCATTAAAAATATTCAGACTTTTATTAAAATTTAAGTATACCTCAGCAAGGCAAAACCAATTGTCATAATTGGACAATCAAATAAATATAGCTCACTATTCAAAAACTATTCATCATCCGTAAGGAAATGAATTTTAAGATTTAAGATTTTAATTTTATTTCAAATGACAAGAATTATTTATTGTAGATATATTTGAATTGTGGGCATCGTGTAAATATATATTGACCATGTATTTTTTCTTCCAACTTACACTTTAATTTCTTTTTAATAACCGCACCTGTTCGAACATTTCTCTTTCGTTTTGCTTAATTCACTTTCCCTTTTTTCAATGGTCATTTCAGCAAACGGGGTACAAAAGGGCATATAGATTTTGCGAAAACTTTCCAATCAATTGGCAGAATCAGCACCCAGCTGGTATAAAATATTCGAACCTGGGAAGCCAGGAAAATCTATATATACGCTTTTTTTCTTTATTTTCCTGCAGCGGGTTCTATTTGGATTTGTGGCACTTTTATTGAACACGAACCTGCATTAAAAAAACATATTTTATCGCACTGTGAGAGAGCTTGTTACCCCGGTGTTGTTGTTGTCGTTGCTTCTGTTCCGAAAGTAAACAACTATTTTTATTTTTCCCTTTTTTTTACACACCGGTCAGCCACTTTCGTTTGGACTGCAGCAGCAGTAATATTTCTGATCGCTCGTCTGTTTAATGAATTTTTGTATTTAATGAATGAACAACATTTTTCTTGTTGCCTCCTCCGGTGTCTTTGTCTGTGTGCAGGCGATTTTTTGTGTCTGTTCTGTATGTGAATTTTTATTCGTTTCTCTTTGCCAATTGATTGGAAATATTTCTTTTCATGTTTTTCAATTTGAAATAACCCAAAAACAAGAGACTGGGGGGCTGCTGCAGCCCCTTTTGACTCCCCTTTCGAACCCCCTCTAACAATCTCAGTGGCCGAGTGCTTTTGAGCGATGGCATATGAGATGCTCACATCCCCCCACATTTTGTTTAGATAATAATAATTTTTGCCATTTTATTTCGCCTGGCCTGGGGCTCTTGACTCGATTTATGTTCTCTGGCTGCCCGACAGCTAATGTTAGCTTATAAAGCTTTAATTTATTTTGTTTTCATTACTGATTATTATCTTGTCCATAAACATATTCGGGTTTTCTCTTGATGATGATTGCTCGAGCGGAACATTTTGGAATTATTCTCGATACCCATCTTGTTGAATAGCCGATATTGTTGCAGTCAGAATCAATTTGGCATTGCTTAAATGTGCGGGGTTATAAGGAAAATATACGCAGGAGTGCATCTTCATATTCTGTTGGCCTTTTGCAGAGAAATGTTGGCCATGATGTGCTATTTCAGCTCTGTTAACTGAACAGGATTTCTCTGCCTCTGTTTGTGCAGACTTCCCCTGGCTGAATTTAATAATAACATTTCTGCTTGGGCGCCAAATTTAAAATTTAAAAGTATATACATTACAATAAATAGATAAACTTTCTTACAAGAAAAAATTTAAAACAAAAATTGGTGTTATTGTATTATTTAAAACCAATAGATAAACAAAGAGTTAATTGTTCGCAGAAATGGAATTTTGCAAACAAGGCAGGTTACTAATATTTGCAAATATCCCAGACAGTAACTACATTTAAATAGACGATGTATTTGTCAAAAAAAATTCAATTCAATTAAAATAGAAGCATCTTAAATTTTATTTCGTGATTCCGGGAAAATAATATTATTTCAAAAAAATCATTTACATATGTATATAATGGTTTATTGGAATAAGGTATAATTCAAAAAAATTTTCTTAGAAATAGAATGAATAAATCTATTAATTGGACTTAGGTGGTAAATTTGTTCATTAATTAATATATTTAGTTATATTAAATTTAATTATTATGGGTTAGAAAATTACTCACTATCCCAACGGCAGGTGTTTAAACGAACTGAGTTAATTACACGTGAATAAATGTAAATTTCTAGCAAATAGCATGCAAGCCGCCAGTTCGATATGGCAAATATTTGACCATTACTCGAGCCATGGTAAATATTTGCTATTCAGTTGCCTTTCTTGATTTTTCCTCGACCGCTCGTTGTTTCGTTTTCCAAATGTTCTGCTGGGGTAGCACTCTCTCTCATGCGATTTTCCATGCGTTTGAATATTCTGTCTGAGACTTTCCCCCTGGATTTTCTTAGCTGCTAACAGAGCTCTCTCGCTGCCTGAATTTCCCCGCCCTGCAAAGAGAGGGAGAGAGCAGAGACCCACTGACACAGTGATAAAGAATGGCCCACTGATAACAGCGCGCAGCTGTGTGCGTGAGAGAGCACTGTTGTTCCATATCGTACAGTGCTTATACAGTATATCGGATATGCCGATACACTGTTAAGGCCGCACAGGTACGAGGCTCTCTCTGGGCCGCTCGGCAATCGCTGCTCGGAGGTCGGCGGTCGCGTTTCCAGTTAAACTTTTACCGAAAAGGCGGACGGACGGGTCTTGAAATCAATCGTCGGGCTCCGCAGTTTCTACGCGATTCAATGCGATTCGATTCGGCTCCTGGATTCCTGACAGCCTCCCGCAGAATTCAAATATTCAAATAATTCCAAAACCATTCAGAAATCAAAATAAATAAATACCTGCAAGTGAAAATAAATTTGCTAAAAAAATAGAGCACAGAATTCCTAAAGAAAAAAATAATCAAAATAAATAAGTGAAGAAATATATTTTCAGGAATTACTCAAATGAAAATACCCACACTAAAAAAATATCTGTTTTTCGGTGCTACTTGAAATCAATGAAAAATTCAATGCTATTAGTGTGTGCAAAACAAAAATAAATATGTGAATGGAAAAAGTGCTCGAGAGTAAATAGGCCGAAAAAGTCGAAACAAAAATATTTAAAATATATCTTGGACAAACTGGTGCAGTTTTTTCTCGGCTACTCGGATATTTTCCAACAAAGAGCCAGTGCTATTATTAAAGTAATTTGTGCGACACTTGCCACCTGTTCGACGACTTTTGGAAAACGCACACAATTTATGCAAACGACTTGGAGAAGAAAGCCGATCTGATTCGAGGGAAGACCAAAGAAAAAGTGAGAGTGTCGGCAGTCGTTGACCCAGTGTAAGTCTCTAGTTCAATATTGTTCTGGGTTTTGTGGATCTCTGGATTTGTTTACCCCTAACCGCTACTTTTGGCACCTTAACACCCAGCTGCCGACGATCTTTGTTATCGCCCAGTGTTTGTCGGGGATTTAAATATAGATTTATGGCAGGCAAACATTAATTGAAATGCTCAAGCGAGTCTTGGGGGCAGTTTAGATGATTGACCTAGACCAAGGGGAAATGAATAGTGTCCATTTGCACCAGGTTCCAAGTGAAATGTTGTATTGTTAGCGCCCTTTTGAGAGGGCTCTCAAGCTGATATGCACAAACACTTCAGCCGGGGGGCATAGCTAATCAAATTACAAAGTCACAAACCGCTTGATTTGATAATTCAGTTGGGCTACCCGTAACGTAGTATATAAATTCCAAGGCATGTGCCTTTTGCCGCAGATGCTGCCGATTTCCCACCGTCTCGGGGAATATGCAGCAGCAGTTTTATCTCCAAAGTTCGGCAAATTACCTCCGCACAGATGTGCACCCAACGTGCGGGTGCGGCTTTTGTGTATAAATTTACACTTAACTGCAAAACAACAGGCTTAATTGCCCGAAACCAAATAAAACTCAGCATGCCAGCGGATCTGGCTTACTGGTCTTGGGCCAAGTTTTTAAGAACAATTCGAGTGCCCAGCACAAGGGTATATCGAACTTGGGATTATTATTTTTTGGTTTCTCATTATTTACTTACATTTTATTTGATTTGTAGAAAATAATAATTAATTTTAATAATTTATATCTTAACATAAAACTAATCTAGTTCTACATATTAAGTTAAAAAAATTATGTTGGAGAAAAAAAATATAATTTGTATTATTTGTTGATTATATTTATATCACAAATCAATTTCCAAAAAAGACTTTATAGTAAACAAACCCACAAAAAACCAACACAGCTTTATTTACAAGCTACCAAAAATCAAATTGAAGGTGAAATGACTTGGTAAACATTTAGAATTGTAAATAAAAACGCTTTCAACAAACAAACTGGGTATCCTCCAGTTGCGAGCAGCACTTGCGATTGTTTGAAATGATTTCTGAGCAGTTGCAACAACTGCTGCGCGCATCCTTGAACATGAAAACTGAAAAGTGAAACGAGAGTGCTGCCAAAAGATGGCGGGACAATTCGGGCGGGCACTTACACTAATTACAGCCGCCGTCACTTAAAGTGAGTCACGGTCGCATTTTCCACACGTGTTTTACCTTTTCCCTTCCGCTCGCCTAAGGCATTCAGGCAAAGATGTCAGAGTGACACACTTTTCCGACTTCTCAAGCTCTCCGGCTTCAGCTTCAGCTCTTTCATCTATTGTAAATTGACTCTCCTCGAATGAAAGAATGGCCAGCACAATGGGGCGTATGCGTAATACGGTCGACAGTTTTCCAGCATTCACGCTGCATTGTCTGCGTCCCGGAATATTGCTCATACGTCATGGTTGCCGCTGCTGCTGCTGCTGGAAAACAAACGGAACGCTCAAATCAAAGGCGACAAGCCGCAACAATGGCGCTCAAAATGCCAGCAGGCATGGCGGAAATATAAAGTAAACTATTGTTTAGCTTTTTCTTTTCTCTTTGCCAGCAATCATTGCGCATACGCCACGTGGTCTGGTCTGGTTTCACCTTGGCGACACTGTTAATAAGCATTTAATTAATTAATAATTAATCACTAAGCATGATCCGGCTCATCATTTGTTGGCCAGTAAATAGAAAGAGAGTGAGAGAGGTCATTTTCCCATTGTCTGCGGGGCTGCTGCCCACGCTTATCGTAATGGCCAAAAAGTTCTAATCGAGGCAATTAACGTGGCCAAATTTAATTTCCGTCCCCCAGAAACGCTATCAGTCGCCCCAAGAACAAAAAAGCGAAGCGAAAAGCGAAACGAAGACGGAGCGGGGCGCTAGCTTTTTATTTACAAAATATTAGTTCATGCCAGCCATCGGGAAATCCATCATGTAAGCCCGGGATTTCTCGGTGTTGCATGTGTTTTCTGTTTTTTTTTCTGGTATTTTCTGTTTGCTCTGGGCTTCCCTGCTTGTTTGTTCTATTTCTTTGGCCTAATAAACGAGCTTGGCTCCCAGGTATTTTTACTGGCACTGAAAGTTCGAGAGAGCGTCTGCCATTAAGCAAATTACTTATGTTAATTAGTTGCCACGGCTAATGAGAAATCTCAAGGATTTGCAGTCCGTGATAAGTCAAATTTAAAATGGAGAGTGGGGAAAGGCAAAAAGAGCCTTTTCCTGATTATCCACCTTCCGTCCCAATTTAGCCCTGTTGATTTATGATGCCGGAGATTTACCCAAGCAAAATCTCAACTTGAAAGTCAATTTCACAATGCCCCGGGCCTTGCCACACAATGCGAACTCAATTTCCCCCGCTTTCTCTGCAGAAAGCTGGAGAGCTAGAGACCCTTTGATTCATCAAATTGCATTTATTTGCCAGATGAGCGGACTGCAACAATGGGGATGCAACAGTTTGCATTCGGAAAATTGCATAAATAAATAATACGGCACAATAATTGAGGAGAATCTCCTTTGTAACAGAGAGAACAATTTCGATTTCAATTTGCCATAAACTATAATCAATCCAAGCAAACTGCGAATTTCAGTAATTTGGGAATACAAGAGGCCTTGGCTTTAGTTTACTATTTATCGAACTACATTGCCCATCTCATCTGCGCTTAATCATTGGCTTTTATTAAAATCCCTTAACCTACTTAATGCCAGGCAGATGTTTGTGTTAAAATTAAAACCCAGTGGATAGATTTGTTAGCCTTAAGCCGTAAAATAATTAAAAATGTAATTAGCTTCGTGCAATTCGCATGCATTAATGTATTCAAAATGCCGCCAGCTGAGATTTCGGATTTTAAGCGAAAAGTAAGAGGAATGTGGGATACGGATGCAGATTCAGGTCAGTGCGCCAGTTGGGAATAATTTCATTAAAATCAACTTTGGTTTTCGCCCAGCCTGCGGTCAGTTGAAAGAAGATTAATTACTGACTTTATTTTGACTGGCGAGGGAATTCGCACTACCGACTATATAATTCAGTATTGACACATAATCGATGATGGCCGTGTGCAAAAACTAATTAAGCCGCTGGAATGCGAAAAGGAAAAAATTAATTCAAATTGCAAGGCTTCATTGTCTGTAAGTAGTAATAAGCAAACATTAACTCCAGTGCACAATATATCTTAATTTTTGCGCATAATTAATGCCTGCAATTAAGTTTTCTTCCCCGCACCTTTCACTATATTTAGTAGGGATACAGTAAGCACACGCACACTCACACACGAGACGTAAACAACCCACTTAACATGCTGGGAAATACCATTTGATCCTGCCATCCATCTCCAGCCGCATTGCGTATACGCAGCGTGGGCCGAGAGCCTCAGGCATCATTGTGTCACGCACATTATTGATGGGCCGGCTCAATCGCTTCGCCTTGAGTTTCCCAGCTATGAGCTCTGAATTTCCTTTGGGGTCTCGGTTACAGCTTCTGGTTACGGTTACGAAGTTCCGCAGTTCCGCATTCTCGGCGGCATCTGGGCAATTACGGCTCGTTGGTCTGCCTGTTTATTAAAACGACATAATTGCGAATTTAAGCTGATGCGGCCCTGACTGCCTCCAATCAACTGGATCATCATCATCTGCGGCTGCTGCCTTTGGCAGACTTGCCATTTTCCTGCTCTCAAAAGTTTTTCCCGGAAAATTGGCATACGCAGCGGTCAAAAACAGAATACTTTGGCCTTGCAAACAAAACAGAAAGAAGGCACGCCTCTCTTTTCAATTATGATTAATGACCAGTAATTAAAGCCATGAAAGCGACCTTTGGCGGATATACAAATTGATTAGAGATGGACACGTGAGTGGCGGCCAAGATTAGCAAGTCGTCGAAAGTTGGCTAGTCAGGGTGTGTGCACATAAAGAAAAAAGCCACAACAAGATGGTGAAAGAAGATTATAAACGGTCAAGTGGAAAATGGGAATCTCAAGTGGGAACTGATTTCTTAAAAAATCATTATGAAATCTTTCTAATGAAAACTAATTTTTTTTAATGATATTTTTTCTAATTAACAGATTTAATATATTTTTATCTATTTCAGTAAAATACAAAAAATATTTTTAATAATTTAGATAATACTTTCCTTAAATTTGAAAGATACATATTTTTAAAATTAACAAAATGATAAACAATTTTTTTTTAATTTAGTAAGGTTTAATATTTTTCTTTATTTAAAAAAAAATATTTGTAATAATTTACATAATATTCTCCTTAAAAAACTTTATTTTTTTTTCCTCTATTTATTTAGCTTGAAACTTTGTACTCCTAACTAAACCTTTTTCGACCCTGCTGTTAGTTAACTGCTCGTTTCAAGGACTCGACCTGGGGCTGTCACATCTTCAAGTCAGACACATTATCTTTTATTAGCCAAATTGTACACACTTGAATGGGGATGAAGAGCGGGTGGGTGGCCAAAGCCCCAGCCCACTGACGCCACAGAAGTCATTCAGCATAAATCAGGGCAGCGGCCTCCGACTGAAGGAGATGCTCAAGTGTTTTGGCTTTTCATTAATTAAATTGCAGACCACCTTTCTGGGGGCCCGGATTGTTTATGTTTATGTTTTGATTAGGCATTAGGGCCGAAAACCGAAAACATGTTTGGGTTAAGTGCACAGGCCCTCGAGGTCCTTCGAGTGGCTCCTTGTTCTTCTGTCTCGAGGGTGCATTATGCTGGGGCAGAGGGACTCAGGATGGGGCTTGCCCCTCCACCCGGACCCATTAATCACCGCCAAATGTCTGGCAAGACAGCCGCGAGTGTTTGCCCACTACGCTTTTGATGGCTAATTGCATACAAGCCAGCCGATTTCGTTCCGTTCCGCCAGAACACGTAATTGTAGACATCTTGTACTACCTGATTGTGTGTTAGCCAGACAACAGACAGCCGACAATTGCAAAGAGTTCGCAACGTGTGCTA